TAATAAAGTTAAATAAAATTTAATTAATTCTTCCATGAATTAGGAAATAATTTTATTTATTGAAAATTGAAGTTGAAAGACATTTTTGTTACTTTTTAAAGTTCAAGGATGAATTGATTCAAAAATAAAAGTTAAAAGACCAATTTAGGTATTTAACCTAAAAAATATATTAACCACGGCAACATCACTATTTAATTAATCCTTAAATAAAAAAAAGTTAAAAATTGACATCCTTGAATAGAAAAAAGTTAAAGGTTGACATCTTTATTTAAAAATTGACAAAATTAACATTCTTATTTAAAAAAATTAAAAATTGATATTCTTATTTAAAATTTATCAAAATTAACATTTTTAAATAAAAAAAAGTGCAAAATTAGAATCGCACATTTACCCACGAAAAAGACATGAACCATCCACGGTCCAAAAAAAAAAAAAAAGGCTTTTTGTCGTCGCATGTCGCCCTGGTGAAAAGTACCTCGACGGAGACAGTGAAGTGCTTTTGCTGCCAGCAATAGCATCAATGGCATCCGAAAAGCCATCGCGAAACGATCTGCCGCAGGTCCTGCTGCTACGACCTCCACCATCCTTCTACCTCTTCGGCGACCAATTCTACCTCTCCGACAAATTCCAACTCCTGAAAGCATACGAATCGCCGCTTCCTCTGAGCGAGTTCCTGACCACTCACGCGCAATCCATCCGAGCCATTCTCTCCTCCGGTGGTGCCCCCGTCACCGCCGAAACGATCCGCCTGATGCCTGCGCTGCAGCTTGTAGTCACCACTAGTCAGGGCCTCGACCATATTGACCTCGGTGAGTGCTGCCGCCGCGGCATAACCGTTTCTGGTGCTGGTACTATTTTCTCCGCGGATTGCGCGGATTCAGTTGTAGGATTGTTGCTTGATGTGATGAGAAAGATTTCCGCTGCTAATCGGTATGTCAAGCAAGGGCTCTGGGCCGTCAAAGGCGACTACCCCCTTGGTTCCAAGGTTAGTGAAGTGTACTAATTTCGCTCTTTACTGTTTCTGTTTGGGAAGTATGAATTTTCAGATTCCTTACCAAAATCGCAAAATCTTTGTTGGAAGGGACCTGCGCTCTTAACCTGGTTGTTAAGTTGTATTTCTTTATTTTTATTTATTTATTTTTTATATTGGTTGTACAATGAGAGAGGCAACCATCTCCAATTCTCTCATCTCTTATCTCATCTCACCCGTATGCTATGTGAGTTGAATTCAAGATTTCTTACTTCTGAGAAGCACTGAGTTAGTTAGTCAAGTTGTATTAATTATTCTATTTTTGTAGTAATGAATTTTTATAGGAAAATATAAAAGTAAGATATGAATTTTAATACTAATATCTGATTTTAATTGGGTAATTGGTAAATTTAAACTTAATTTTTAATTTTTCTATACAAATTAATTTGTTAATACATCCTTAACATGCGTGCCTTAGGTTATATGTTACAAAAACTCTTGTTAAAGTTTTAAAATTGGAAATGCTATTAGGCTTCTTGTCTGCTGGTGCCTGTATTTTATTTTTATTTTTTTTTATATTATCATGGAAATATATAAAATATTAATTAAAATTTGTATAGGTATACAGAAAAAATCAATTAAAATTAAGTAAGAATTATAAATTTACCTTTTTAGATAAAATGTATGTTAAAAGTTTAGTGTGAATCATTTTCAAAGAATGAGTAGAACGATAATGCAATAACTCCCACGAGATTGAATACGCAATTGGAAATTTTTAATGTTGTAGTTTTGAGCAATGTCTTGATAGTTGATACCGTTGTAGTTAGAGGCTGCATTAGAATTTTTTTGTTTCTTTTTTAACCAGCAAAATTAGATTAATTTTATTGGTAATCTTGGTATAGAGCTGATAATTTGTTGAGTGGAATAATTAATTTCAGCTGAGTGGCAAACGAGTGGGGATTGTTGGACTGGGGAGCATTGGATCAGAGGTTGCTAAGAGGCTTGAAGCATTTGGGTGCTCTGTTTCATACAATTCAAGGAAGAAAAAACCAGATGTATCATACCCTTTCTATTCAGATGTCCGTGAACTTGCAGCTGATTGTGATATCCTCGCAGTTTGCTGTGCTTTAACTGAGGAAACTCACCACTTGATCAACAAGGAAGTGTTAAAAGCTCTGGGAAAGGAAGGAGTCATTGTTAATATAGCGCGTGGCGCTATTATTGATGAGAAGGAACTGGTGCAGTGTTTGGTGCAAGGAGAGGTTGGGGGTGCTGGTTTGGATGTGTTTGAGCATGAACCTGATGTTCCCAGTGAGCTATTTGAATTGGACAATGTTGTGATGAATCCACATAATTCTGTCTTCACATATGAATCTTTTCAGGATCAGCGGAAAGTTGTTGTGGGAAATCTTGAAGCTTTCTTCTCAAACGAACCCTTGCTAACTCCAGTAAAAAATGATTGAATAAATTCTCAGGAGGTATATATATATATATAATATCCATTAAATAAACACTTCTTTCCCATGGAAATATTTTATGTCAGAAGTAGTTTTTACTCCAGTATCTTGTTACTCAAAGCTGTTATGCAGTCATATTGATTTGTACTTCAAGTATATAATTTATGGATAATCTTTATATGGCATGTTGTGTATAGAGATCCGTTTGCTAGTCAATACAGTCTGACCACTGTTACTTCTGGTAAACAATGTCTTTCATTCAGCTAGTTGTAGTTATTGGTAATCTGTCAAACATAATCTCTTTACCTCTTCTTCGTCCTTTTTCGTAGTGATTGTTCTTGTAGATACTAGGTAACATTGCTAAGCATTTATTATGCACTCTAATGCCCATAGTGTTTTGTTTATGGATGTAGGGCCTGGAGTATGGTCACGAAAGATTGTTTTAGTATTAACATCCTAGTATTTGATAATCATATTAAGTTTCGATTAATTCAGAATCGAGTCATGTTAATCCTTATTAGGGAAAGCTCTGTTAATAATTATTTCTCCATTCATAAGACTCGAACTTGAAACTTTACTTAAGGGGAACCGATCTTCTTCTAGTCGGACCAATGACACGAAAGATTGTTGTAACTCAAGATGGTTGCAAAGTTATGAGCTTCAAGTACAAAGCCACTATGGGATTACTTGCACCATTGCTATTGTTATACTTATACCCTGATTAAGACTTCAGAGGGATGAATAGAGGAAATGCTTTACCCATTATATGTTAGTAGTACCAAATTCATGCTCTTGTCTTCTAGTAGTCAAAATGACTCCTAATAATTCCTGTTACGTGTTGCTTCCTCTCTATGTTAGCACTAGCAAAAGAACTTGATTCAAAGAACATCGAAATTGGACAAAAACAAAGATAAAAGATTATAAAACTGCAGTGTTGAAATTCTGTTCATATTTGGTTGCAGATGGTATCAAGTGTACTCGAAAGTATTAGGACTTGCTTCCATAAACCACCCGGAAAATTGGTTATTCATTCTATTCTGGGTTTTTGCCCATAATCAGCTTCACCTTTGGTAGGCTGAAGAGAGAAGAAGAAGAGGGTGGAGCTGTGTGTGAAAGAAGAAAAAGATTAGAAGAGAAGAAAGGAATTCCGGATGAAAACCATAGACAATTACATAACGCTTTGCAAGAACTTTTTTCGTAGTAGACCTTTGTACATAATTATCTTTTTACCATTACATTATTATTACCCAAAGGCTCTTCGCTTCCCTGGATTTTACATCGCAGACCTGATCATGGGTAGTAGAGAAGAAAGCCATGGTCGCCGATCCCAGTCTCTTCCAGAGGTCTTGGTCCTCGAACCACCGCCAGTGTTCAAATTCCATGGGGACAGGCTCTCGGAAAAGTTCGTTTTCCTCAAAGCGTGGGAATCGCCGCTGCCTCTCGAACAATTTTTGATCGTCCACGCACAGTCAGTCCGAGCACTTCTCTTATCTGGCACATATCGACTCACGGCTGACATACTCCGCCTACTGCCTTCTCTGAAGCTAATATTCACCACCAGCGCCGGCCTCAACCACATCGACCTACCGGCTTGCCACAAGCAAGGAATCTCTGTTGCCGGTGCCGGAAGCTTGCACTCGGAAGACGTTGCTGATTTGGCCGTCGGACTGCTGATCGATGTGTTGAGAAAGATTTCTGCTGCTGATCGGTATGCAAGACGAGGACTTTGGGTCAGTAATGGGGATTTCCCTCTTGGATTCAAGGTAATTAATTATTCATTATCCCCTCTTTCCACTGTACTTCGAAATTCCTCGCTTGTTTGCTTTCGTTGTGAACACCGCTTAGATTAGATCAACAGTTATGATTAAGGTGTTAATTAGGGAAGATGGTTTTGATTTTTCACTGAATCATCCTTTTACATGTAACTGAAAATTGGGTTTATTTCAGTTGAGAGGGAAGCAAGTTGGAATTGTTGGGTTGGGAACCATTGGTTCACAAGTAGCAGAAAGGCTTGAGGCATTTGGCTGCAATATTATGTACACCTCAAGGAAGGAGAAACCATCTGTACCATATCGATTCTACTCCAATGTTTGTCAACTGGCTTCTGATTCCAACATCCTCATTATTTGTTGTGCATTAACTGACCAAACCCACCATCTTATTAACAAGGAAGTTCTGCAAGCATTGGGCAAGGAAGGAATTGTTATTAATGTCGCCCGGGGGCCTATTATTGATGAGCAGGCAATGGTGCGGTGTTTAGTGCAAGGAGAGATTGGAGGTGCTGGGATGGATGTGTTTGAGAAAGAGCCTGATGTTCCCAAGGAGCTCTTTGCATTGGATAATGTTGTGTTGTCGCCGCATAGAGCTGTTCATTGCCAGGAGACTTTGATGGATTTGTGTGACCTTGTGGTGGGAAATCTGGAAGCATTCTTCTCAAACAAACACTTACTAACCCCAGTAATGATGAATCAATGACCTCACCTCTACAGCCAAGTGCAGGTTAGTATTCTCTTCATTTCTCCACCTTGTTTGTTACTTTAACTAAGATACTGTCTCAGAAAAATTTGATATCTGAAATTAAGTTACATGTATTACAGTGAAATTGTTGGACAGATTGTCTTAATTCTCACCCAATGCTGTGTTTCAATTCAAATTGCTAGTGACTTACTCTTTTTCTATACTTCTGGTGCGTTATATGTACTCTCCCTTAGCTTGTGAAAACCATAAAATGGAACCTAGCAGTAACAAAAAGACCTTAGGTTCTAATCCTAAAACCAACACTGACCTTCACCTTATTTGAGGTATAAGGGGAACCCATCGCAAGAAAATTCAATTCCCATGGGAAGAAGAGGATTAACAGCCTAAGTGCCTGTTTGTTGTGGTTGTAGCTTTTAATAGAAGTTTTGTTGAAAAAAAAATATTGTAGAAGTACTATTTTTGTAAATAAAAAAAAAAAACGAAGATAAAATAATATTAATGTATTAATTTTATTAAAACCCAAATGAAAAACTCTTGCAGAAGCACCAATTCGATGCTTCTGAGATTTGTAATGAAATAGACAAAAGACTAACTTGTTAGAAGTTGTAGCATTTTTCACATATTATATTGTTTGGTGCAGTTGTAGCTTTTGAAGTTCAAAAGGGTTTTCACCGGTTATACCAAACATACCCTAAGTGTGGCCCACAATTCCAGAGCTGGCCCAAGTCGGATAAGGTGTAATTGATTCATGGTATAGGTTTGGGCTAAATGAGTCCAAACTTTCCTCAAAAATCTATTTTCTGTGGGCCAGGCAGCCCATGATTCTCTTCTAACGGCTAAGTGCTAATTGCCAATTAAAAATTCATTTTTTTAAAGAAAAAAAAAATCAAAGATTAAATGATAGAAAACAGGTTATGGTCATGACCACCATTCAATTTGTGAATATCATTAATAATTGTTAAATTTTTATTTTAATTTGATTGTTAGAAACAGTTGATAACTGATTAGAATAGTAAATATTTATTATTTAATAAATTAAAATAAATTTATAAATAAATATTTTTAAATATTATAATTAATTATTTAAGAAAAAAAACTATAAATTAATAAAATTATAGTTAAATTGGTGGTCTTAACAATCTAGATAGTGGCAATAACCTAGCCCCAAACATACCGTCCGAATTGTTTTACAATCCATCACCTGTCTGATACATACCTGGGAAGAAGAAGACAATTGAGGAAACAACAAAACGTCTGAAACCACTTGCATGATAGAGGATTAATAATTTATATATGTAGGATGCAGCTAGCATGGCTCTGCATAAATTAGCAAAAGATGAAGCAGAAGAGTTAAATTTGCCAACTAGACCCAAGTCTAGATCAGCTCCTATCAAGTTGCATAATAAATTCATTAATTTCCCTTCTTGATGGTGAATTCATTAATTTCCCACAGCATAGGAAGCAAAAGGAATCTAAGGCCTTATTTTAATTGAAAAGACCTTAATTTGTTAGTTATGTTGTTCCATTCACATAAAACAATGGATTTAAAGGTGATGAGAGTGATGAAAGAAGGGACAAGTAATTAGTTAATCTTTGTGATTATCATTAATCAAATTGACAACTTTCTATCTATTTATCAATCCATCTGTGGTGTTATGTAATCTTAGAGAAATGAAATCCATCTCTTTCAAACCAAATAAGACATTATTTGCCACATTGGATGACAATGAAGCATGTTATATATGCAAATGGTGCCTGTTGTCATTGCTAGGTAGTTTATGCAACTAAGCTGCTTACCTAAATGCATTATTGCCATTATTATATTTTTGTTTATCACACGAAACCAATGTTGTTAATTTTTTTTTCTATTGTTTATTGTTAGATTCATTTTGTGGAGTGCAAACTGCCAATTCAGTTCAGTCTAAACCAATCATGGGAATTAAGGGGGAGAAGAGCAAATCAGGATGGGATGACTTGGTAATTATCAATCCGCATGTTCTTTACAAAATATAAAATTTTAAATTATGGTTAGACATACAAATTTATTTGCAAAAAATGTTGTCTATATAATTTGAACATAAAAGTTAACTTCTAAACTACAAAATCTTATTGCCCTTTCCTACATGAAGAAGAAAACGGAGCCATTTTTGTTGCTATGCTCTCTTGAATAGTTATCTTTTAACGTGTGTCTAATAATGAGTTATATAACTTATATATAGTAATATGATATATTCCTTCTCAAATCTTTTTTTATTCGTTTTAAAATTTGAGTTTGAGACGTTTTAATATAGAAGTTTAAAGTTAAAACGTACATTGTTGCCCTGTAATTAGTACATGAAGAAGAAAACTTAGGTATCATTGTCAATGAATTTGCTGCTTTGTGGAATAGCATTAATTTGGTGTCCAGTCGACCGTATATCCTATGGCCTCAAGGAACCCAATTCGGTCCTCTGATCTCCTTCCTCAATTAAAATACTTTTTTTTTTTTTTTTTCCTTTTGTGATTTTGAGTTACTTTGAGCAAACTGGGTCCACAATAAAAAGTAAAGTGTAACTCTCTCTCTTCCTCTTCTCTGCAATCTCTACAGCTAAACTAGAATCTGGTTGGTGGTAATTGGCATCCGAGGATGAGAATCTTCTTTCCCATTGGCCCTCCGCTAGAATTAATTCTTAGTATATACCTTTGCCTTTTATCTTTTGATGTTCTAGTGTTGTGTGTGTGTTTATATATTTGCTAATCCAAGCCCATATGGTAATTAAAAAATGAAACTACAAAATCAAAACTTTTGAATGTTAAAAAGTTCTACCAAATATGGTAATAGGATTCTGAAAGGGCACATGTTAGGTTTCATTAATTATACTATTTGTAATTAAATTTGTATAAAATTTTATATAAGATTTAAATAAAATATAATATAATATTTATACCTAAAATTGGTAAAAAAAAATATAAGTTTGATATGTAAATTTGTACAAAATTAATTAAAGACATCATAATTAATGAGTTTTAATTTGTGCCATTAGACAAATCCTATAGTAATTTTAGAAATAAAAGTTTTTATGATTTATCATGTACAGATGGTACATTTTATAATTATTAATAGATAAGAGACACTCCATGTTCAAAAGCCATCCCTCATTCATAATTTATAAACATGTCATTTTTTTGATAATTTGATAGTTCAATACACTTTTGCAAATGTATTCAGACGTTACTTCAACAAATGCTTTAGATATGCCTAAACATTGTGTAGTCACCCATAATAACAACAACAACAACAATAATAATAATAATATAAAGCCACAAACCATGTATATGAGCTAGAAAACACATGATATATGAATATGATAGGAATGACGCAACAGGGAAAACAATTGAATTAAATTCCAGAGCCGGTACTCCATACCTATCCCCCAATGAACGGCCTTTGCTTTTCTCTCCTCCTCCTCTCACCTTCACTTCCTATTAATTCAACTCTCTTTCATCTCTTTCCATTTCATGACATTTCCTCTCTCTTAACTTATTTCTCACCAACCAAACAGCTAGAGAATTTCGAAACATATAATATTAGTAACAGTTGCATTAATGCCGCCTGAATCTTTAGTCCTCGATGCCTCAGGTCTTCAGTTCAAATCCAACATACCTTCAGAGTTCGTGTGGCCCGACCATGAAAAGCCCTGCCTCCACCCTCCTCAACTTGCTATTCCTCCCATTGACTTGGGAGGATTTCTTTCCGGTGACCCTCACGTTGTCTCCACTGCTACGCAGCTCGTCAATGAGGCATGCAAGAAGCACGGCTTCTTTCTGGTAGTGAACCACGGCATCGATTCACAACTTATAGCTAAAGCTCACGAGTATATGGACTTGTTCTTCGGCATGCAGCTCTCCCAGAAGCAAAGGCTACAGAGGAAGATTGGAGACCACTGTGGATATGCCAATAGCTTCACCGGAAGGTTCTCCTCAAAGCTTCCATGGAAGGAAACGCTCTCCTTTCGGTATAGTGCAGACTGCAAAAACTCAAATATTGTCGAAGATTATTTCTTGAATGCAATGGGTGAAGATTTTAAACACTTCGGGTATATGAACATGCATTTTCTATCTCTAGTTCATGAGCATTCCATGTATATATATTATGCTTCTAACTAAATCTTCCTTCCTCATGGATGTTTTTATTTTAATAGGAGGGTTTATCAAGAATATTGTGAAGCAATGAGCAAATTATCACTAGGGATCATGGAGCTGCTAGGGCTCGGTCTAGGAGTTGAGAGAACTTATTTCAGAGATTTCTTCCAAGGAAATGATTCCATAATGAGACTAAATTACTATCCTCCATGCCAAAAACCCAATTTAACGCTGGGAACGGGGCCTCACTGTGACCCTAATTCCTTGACAATCCTTCATCAGGATCAAGTCCACGGCCTTCAGGTGTTCTTCGAGGAAAACTGGTACTCCATTGATCCCAATCCAAACGCATTTGTAATCAACATTGGCGATACTTTCATGGTAAGAATTTTCATGGAAAATGAATTTCTTTACATCTAAAGTTAGATAGTGTCACAATTTGGGTCATTGGTGAACTTGATTGCGTGCATATATACCAATTCTAATGGATTCTATCTTGTTGATGGTTTCAGGCTTTGTCAAATGGCATTTACAAGAGTTGCTTGCACAGGGCAGTGGTGAACAGTGAAACTGTGAGAAAATCTCTTGCTTTCTTTCTATGTCCAGGGATGGACAAGGTGGTGAAGCCACCTTCTTCTTTAGTGAGCTCCATGAATCCGAGAACATATCCAGACTTCACATGGCCAGTCCTGCTGGAATTCACACAGAAACATTATCGAGCTGACATGAACACCCTTAATGCCTTCTCAAGCTGGCTCCATCAGCAGCATACGATCAATTGAAAAAGAGAGAATGGGGAAAGGGCAGCAGAAACGCCAAAAAGAGAGGGCAGGTGTATAAGTTGCTTTCAGTGGGTTTAGTGCTGGACAGAATATATGGAATAATATGTGAGGATGTTAATTTTAATAGGAATAAAAAGCTAATATGTCCATAACCTAGTGTTTTTAATTTCTCCCAAAGTCCCAAAGTCCTAATTATGTAAGACTAGATTGGTGTACTTTATTTGTTTGGACCACCATACCGTACCAACCATGTACAGCTCAATGCACATCTAAAATATCTACAATAGTTCTAAGTTCTCTTTCTCTCTTTAATTTTGTTTAATTCTATGTCATTTTTATACATTTGATGATGCAACGGAGAAGAACTTTGCCTCTTTTTTTTTCCTTAGATCTCTTTAAATTCATGTGGGTATTCACAATTAAGACAAATTTTTTAAAATTTTTAATGTGAATTAGTTACAAAAAGATACATTTATTATGTTCTAATTAGACAAACCCTTTAAAATTTTAAGTTTTTATCACTCAAAACACCCCTTTTGAAGCTGGATTAAATTCTTGATGAAGAATACTTTTGGGGGAATGAAAAAGAATGAAATGAAGCCACCACCATGAAAAAAAATGGGTTCTTTTTGAGACATAATTGGGGAAATTACATGGTTTGAACAATATCGTACAAAAAGGAAAGTGAAAAATGTTTGTCCTCTCTGGACTCTCAAAGAAACCATCTCAAAGATCTCAATAGCTGCTGTCCACTGCCTCGGGTACCGGTGGCACTGTAAACTCAGTCCTTAAATAAAAATCTGCATAGGGTGAATGGCTTCAATGTTTCTTTGATTGGGAGTGTGACAAGATCTTATGTCAATTTTCTTAATTTTCGATCAAAAGATTATATGTCAATTAGTAATAATAGTAACAATAAAAGTCAGTCGGTTCACCGACAAAAATGGAGAATACAACTCGATAAGATGGATGGATGGATGGATCAAATTTTGATCTTGTTCATTCTCTTTAATCAAGAACCCATTACTAATTCAGTGCGGTTCCCCAATATTATCGGATCAAATCAATGAAAATTTCACTAATTGGATTCGGAAGAAGAATTTTGTGCATCTTTCCTGCCCTTTAATTGGGTCAAATAATTGATTGGGTGCAATTTCAAGAAGGGATGAAATTGACTGGACCTATTTAATTGAATGGCAACTAGCTAGGCAGCCAACAGAAGCTTGAAAAAATGAGAAAGAGACAAGTTTTTATTATTTTATTATTGATTTATTTTTAACTTTTTATAACTTTATGCATCATTTAATAATTAATTTTTCTCATTCTCATTTATTAAATCAATGCTATTACATAAATATACTCTTTTAATATTTCATTTAATAATTATGTTAATAAATTATCTATGTATCATTATTCTAAAAGCTAATTTCATCATAAGAAAATATTCCATAAAGAAAAGGTTTTAAACGAATTGGCAGTATCATCTATCAGACAATTATGGGATTGCTTTGATGCCCATTTAATTGGAGTACAGATTCAAGAAACAGATTGATGGGACCAAGAATTGAACATGTCCCTTCGTAGTAGTGGAAAAAATTTTCTGTCGCCAATAACATATCATATCAGCTAGGGTTTGATTAATTGTAACGCAGAATTACAGAGGAGGCAAACGCACCATCACAGAACCCATATGGCACGGAAAAATTGGCATTCCTGCACTAGGAAAATTATTTAAGATAGCAAGTACTAAGGATATCAAGAATTGTACCCGTTCTGAAATGAAGAAGACATTATTTGTTCAGAAAATAAAGCAAACCGACAATCTAACAAAAAAAATTGCACGGACTGTCTGCATAGGTTAGTACTAAATAGAATTTGTTATTTTGTTTCAATTTGTGAGTGCTCAAGGAATGAATTCAATGAATAATATAGAAGAATGGACAATGTGGGATGCCCCACCCTCCCCCCTAAGAAAAAAAAAGAAATTAACAACGTGGGAAAAAGAAGGAAGACAGAAAGCAGAAAGTTTTACCCAATCCCTCCTCCTGCAGTATTTAAACCAAAGATGCTTCAACTGCATGCAGAGGAAAGAAAATAGAGAAGGCATTAATCTATACCCCAGAAAGCAGGCTCATTCACCCTGTCTGCTTGCAGCTCCGAAGGTAAGGATGATCATACTTAATGTACTTGGTCCAGTAAGGCTGATATTTTGTCATTGCTATCTCCAGCCATGGTTTCATATTGCCATTATAGTGGATTACTGCCGCATTTTTAATTTTCCTCTTGTCAATACTTGGATTGTAACCCAAACCAAGCACGTGCCATGACTTCTCCAGTGGGTGTGTTAGACCATAAAATGTAATCAGTCCTGGAGGCAGTGTCCCGAGCTTCCAGAGTGTTCTTTCTTCATTCTGATAAAATGGAAGGGTGAGGGAAAAAATAGAACTCAGAACATATAAAATTATAAATATTTTACTGGCTTGATGATCCAAAAAAAAAAAAAACCCCATTTTGATGGCTGTTTCATGCACAATGAGTCTAGATTATGTAATTCAATAGCATCTGAGGGCCATCCATTTCTTTTCACACTCAAAAACCATTAAATAATCAACTATGGTACAATCATTTTTTGCAAAAAGCACAAAGACGTTTGATGATTGCTAAAACTTTCTTATTTCAGCAAAGGAATTCAATTAATTTACACATTATGATGCATGGATGTCTTAAAATATGAAATGTAAAATGCTGGTGATGATAAAAGATATGCAGCCATAACATTAAAGGGTAACTCACCAAGTTTTGCCACTTATGATATATGCCTGTGATATCCTTCTTTTTCCACTCTTTAAGATCAAACATATTCATCCCATATGCCCACCCACAAGCATTAGGATCAAAGTTCTTTGAAATGTTAGGATTTGAAAAGTTTAGGTACTTGTCAAAACGATGAAAGCTTTCACCACAGGTTTCAACCGCACCATTAACTTTTCCATGAAGATTCACTGACCACAATCCTGTTAAGTCTTTCTGGACAACAATGTCATCATCAAGAAACAGGATCTTATCCAACTTGGGATAGACCTCTGGCAGATAGAACCTCAAGTGATTAAGCATGGAGAGATACTTTGGGTTCCGATACTTCAAATTTGAAGAGCCAGATGCAAGATTGGTTTGTTTGAAATAATAATCTATCATTTTAGCAGACTCAAGTTGCCGCAGAACAGGGCAGTAGGATGAATTCAGCCACGTGAACTCATCAACATTTTCAACGTGAATGGTAGCTTTTCCAGGTGGATTTAACAGAAACCACATATTCATTGCCCCAAAGTTAAGTTTATCTGTAACAAGATGGAAAACGTGTTTTGATGGATCCTGCAATACCACCATTTAAATAATAATTTTAGTCAAGATGGCAGGTGTACCTCTATTTAAAAATGTTGAAAAAAAAAATTCAATTAAACACATGCTGGAAAGTTCAATTTAGACAGCTGTATAGAACAGGGCAGGTCAAATACCTTTGCATTCATGACAGTTGAGTTGACAACAACAGACGCGGCCAAGACATTATCAGAGAAAAGGGCATAATGATAAAGATTTGGATTTTCCAAATTCTCACTTCTAGGGAATTTTCTCTGATCTGGGGAAAGGAGATTGTATTCTATGGTCAATCGCATGGACAGACAATGGATTGCATTTGGAATTGTTTTAGCAGCCATTTGACTCAGGAATGTGCTCTGTTTCTTCAAGCCCCTAACTTCCTCATCGGCTGTCTGAAGCATTGCTCTGAGACTTCCAGTGACAGACTTGCAATCATATAATATCCCTTTTGCTTTTGATAGAACTCGGCCCATAGCTTTCATTTTCTCAGGTGCACTAAACTCAAGTTGCAAGTGTAATGTATGAATTTAAAAACTGCCAATGTCACTAATAGAGATAATAGTTACAAACCAAGACTGTAATAGATGATTGACCGCATTAAAAGAGTAATTTCTTCATACCTTTGATGTAGATCAGCATCAACTGTTGCCTCTCCCAAGGCACGCTGACTCTCTTTGAGCCTAGTTGGCAATTCCTTTAGTAAGTCACTGTTATTTTTCATATTTGCAATACTTATATATACCTTTGCCATTATAATTTGGTCTCGTAGCAGGCGCACTGTCGAATCTGGGTTCTCATTCTCATTTTCTTTCCTCCAAATATTGTACTTTCCCAGAACTGCAGAGTCCACTGATTTGGAGTGTTCAATGGCTGCATTTTCAAGTTTTATTGAAGCTTCATCATCTTGTTGCAGCAAGTAAGCTGCCCGCTTCTCATGTCTTTCTTCCCTCAATTGCTGCACAATATCAAAATATGTCAAGGAAATAAATTTCACAGGTTAGAAACAGATGCAAAAGAGAACCAGCAAATGGCAAATGTATTAAATGAAATCTCATTAAGTTTGTCATCAATAATCTTAAAAACATCTTAACTGCTCTGACTCCGAGTTACAAGATATTTTCACATGGGTGTAGAAAACAAATAATCTTGAAGCATGCCATGCATGAGAGGACGATAATTACCCTCCGAAGTACTTTTGCAGATGAATCAAGGGATTGAGAGTGACCATCTGCGTGAGACAATGAGATCCGCATGAAAGAAAAATATTATCACAAGCATCAGGCAACTATCCATTTATAAAAGGCATTACCATCCAGAACCTTGCCATCTTTGATTGCAGGCATCTCTTGTTTGATGTCTGTAGCTTTCTGGTTTGATTTAATTATTATATTAGGCCAAGAAATTCAACAAATTAGAACTATATATAGAATTGAGGTTTTGTGGCAGAAAACTCTGGAATGGAGCGAAAATGCACTAGATTTGAGTCAAACCATACTATAATCTAACCTGATAGGTAGTATCATTATCAACTGAAGTCTCTAACCCAGTAACTTTCCATGAACCTGAAACATTGTTTTGTCTGAAAGAATCGAGACTTAATGACTCCAAATCAGCTTTGCTTGTAGTTATAACATCCATGATCTACAATATTGATTTAATTGGGATATCAAGCAACCAATAAAATTGATATTTAAAATGCATTTATTTTCTGGAAAGAGAAAACATGACTAATGCATAGTAAATATTGAGCAATTGACACTTACTTCTCTTGACAAGAGAGATCTAAAAGATTGCAATGCCAGCCTTTCCCTCCAATCCAAATTCTGCAGCACTCAACCATTTTAAAGCTTATTACAGTACCTGTAAGAAGCAACAAGAATCTACCATCCAAAATACTAGAGCTGAAATCCTTTAAAGAAGCTACCTGTTTGGGAGGACCGCTAGTTTGATCTGTGCACAAGCAACCATAATCAGCAAATGAAATGAAGATAAAACTATAATTTTATATTAAAAATTCAAATATACATGCACATGCATAGATGCTACTTATTGACCACATTTAACTCCCCCCGCGATACGTTTGAAAATGCTATAGGAAAGAAGTTTCGACTGCCCATTGTGTCAAAAACTATGTCATCTACATTGCTAGACATGCTTACTAGCCAGTATTTTTCCAAGCTCACACAAACAAGTTCCAAGAAAGAAACTCAATGGTTGTAAAAAGTAGCTTGAAAAAAGCATAGAACTTGTTGCGTTAATTCCTATAGACAAAGACAATGCAGATAAACACTCTCAAGCAGCATTTGTAAGGTTATAGAATAAGAGTCTAAGAAACAATTCACAGCTATATAATGTTAATAAGCAGTCCTAACATAAAAGGCATGGAATGCAAATTTCATCAAAAGAAAACAATAAGATAAGACAATGACGCATTGAGCAAGTACTTCAATGGATTAAAATCATCTAATTTTCCAAAATGCAACAATTATCAATATCTAAAAAATGAGATGGATAACAAAGCGAGATCTACAAAATAATCCTACGAAAAAGTGAAAAAAAAAAATTAATAAGCACGAACCAGAAACGTAAAGTCCACGACCGACGAAGAAAACCAAGGGATTGAGAACTGAAAGTAAGACGAGAATCGCGACAGACAATCGAGATCCGGTAGCTTTGCTGCTCGAGGCTCCAATACCAGATAAGCCTCGCCTCAACGCCATATCCCGTCGGAAAACCTGAAATCTAAAACAGAAAATTCAGAAAGTAGATTCAGATAGCGGGAATGCGGAACAGGAACGATGATTACCAGTGAATAGTCAAGAGATCTCGCGGAATTGAGAGGTGGCGAAGCGTGTAGTTTGCGAGTAGGAGGACTCCAGAACACAGCATCAGAGTAACAGTCGATAAAGAGTTTGTTTAAAGATCACAGAGAGAAGAAGAAGAAATTAGTTTGAAGAAGACAAACAGAGTATAAGAATGCGTTAATTTCGTTTTGCAGAAACACCAATCTCCACCGAAGATTTCGTTTTCCCGTCAAATATTTCCATTTTTTTTTTTAAAATATATTTTACCACCTACAATAGACTTCACCGAAACCGTGGATGAGTTCGCAGATAACATTTTAGTGTAACAAGGGATTTTAATTTTAAATTTTAAAAATGTAATTTTGTTAAAATTTATGAAAGAAAATTTTTGTTACTTATTGGATTTTACTTAACTTAAATACGAATTAGTTGGTAACTCAATAAACTTGTAAATATTGAGGGATTCGTTCCAAATATCGGGTTGTTCGTAAAAAAAAAAAATTAGACTTCACTAAAGGAGTTACTTTCAGATTAAATTATAAAAAGACTTGGAAAAGGGCGTATGGAGCGTTTGCTTTAATTTTTTACTAATAGTTATTAAATTATAATTAAATGAATTAAATACTTTTAATTATAAATAATAATTATTAT